CGCCGCCCTGAGCGCCTCGAGATCGGCGTCGCCTCGGCCGCACGCCTCAACCGCCTCGCGCAGCGCCGTTTCGGCAGCATTGCGCGCCTCTGCCGCCTCCGCAGCCGCTGCCGCCTCGCGAGCGGCCGCCGCGGCCTGCTCGGCTGATTCTGCGACCGCCGCCTCCCCCTCCGCCTCTGCTGCGGTCGACGAGTGCTCCTCGAATGTGCGCACGCACTCGGCGTGACCTTTCTCCTTGGCCCACTGCAGCGCCGTCTCGCCGAGTAAATTTCGCGCCGCGGTGTCTGCGCCCGCCTGCAGCAAGCGCCGCACGACGGCGGGGTGGTTGAAGAGGGCGGCGAACATCAGCGCGGTCAAACCGTCGCTGTCCTGCAGGTTGACCTCAGCGCCGCGCCGCAGCAACAGCTCGATCACCCGCTCGTGGCCTTGGCCGGCGGCGCACATCAGCGCGGTACCGCCGTCGCTGTTCTGCAGGTTGACCTCTGCGCCGTGCTGCAGCAGCAACTCGACCACCTGCTCATGGCCGTGGTAGGCGGCGTCAATAAGCGCGGTGCCGCCCTCGCTGTTCTGCAGGCTGACATCCGCGCCGTGCTGCAGCAGCAACTCGACCACCTGCTCATGGCCGTGGAAGGCGGCGCCAATCAGCAGCGTGAGGCCGCTCACGCCGCCTCTCTCGTACGTGGCGTCGACCCGCCCGCCGCTGTCGAGCCACGCCAGCACCGCCTCCTCCTCGCCTCGATGAGATGCTGCCACGACCGCGTCGGGGGCTGCCACGACACCGCTCGACGCCCGCCCCGCCGCCCCCGCTGGAGATAGCGTCTCCGCGACTCTCGATCCAGCCGAGGAAGCGCCGCCGGAGGAAGCGCCGCCTGCGCCTTCGCAGCCTGCCGTCGCCGTGAGCCGTCCCGCCACCACCTCCTGGACGTGCTTCTTGAAGGCCTCGACGCACTCGGCGTGGCCCTTCTCCTTGGCCAGCTGCCGCGCCGTCTTGCCGTTCTCAACGCGCGTCGCCGCGTCTGCGCCCGCCCGCAGCAAGCGCCGCACGACGGCGGGGTGGTTGTAGACGGCGGCGTACATCAGCGCGGTGCCGCCGTTGCAAGCCTGCAGGTTGACCTCAGCGCCGTGCTGCAGCAGCAAGTCGACCACCCGCTCGTGGCCTTGGTTGGCGGCGTTCATCAGTGCGGTGAGGCCGACGCATTCCTGCAGGTTGACATCAGCGCCGCGCCGTATCAGCAAGTCGACCACTCGCTCGTGGCGGTTGCCGGCGGCGGCGATCAGCGCGGTCCAGCCGTCGCTGCTCTGCAGGTTGAGCTCCGCGCCGTGCCGTATCAGCATGTCGACCACCCGCTTGTGGCCGTTGCGGGCGGCGGCCATCAGCAGCGTGAGGCCGCTCTCGCCGCCTCTCTCGTACGTCGCGTCGACCCGCCCGCCACTGTCGAGCCACGCCAGCACCGCCTCCTTCTCGCCTCGATGAGCCGCTGCGATGACATCATCTGGGGCTGGCACGCCACCCCTCGACACCGCTGGCGACAGATTGCCCGGCCGCACCCGCACGCTCTCGCCGCCCTCGAGCGCCACAGCGTACCGCCCGCCCTCGAAGCTCCCCGCCACACCCCGCTGCCCGTTCAGCTCGGGGCGGGCAGAGAGCCCGCCGAGCTCGACTCGCTGCCCAAGCAGCGGCGCGTCCACAGCTGCCGCTGCCGCGCCCGAGGAGGCGCCGCCCGCCCCTGCCCGGCCGTCTGCAGCCGCCGCCGCCTCCGACAAGACCTTGACGCACTCGGCGTTGCCCTTCTCCTTAGCCCACTGCAGCGCCGTCTTGCCGAGTGAATTGCGCGCCGCCGCGTCTGCGCCCGCCCGCAGCAAACGCCGCACGACGGCGGGGTGGTTGAAGAGGGCGGCGTACACCAGCGCGGTGCTGCCGACGCTGTCCTGCCGGTTGACCTCAGTGCCGCGCCGTATCAGCAGCTCGACCACCCGCTCGTGGCCTTGGCTGGCGGCGTTCATCAGCGCGGTGCCGCCGATGCTGTTCTGCAGGTTGAGCTCCGCCCCGCGCCGAATCAGTAGCTCGACCACCCGCTCGTGGCCTTGGCTGGCGGCGAGCACCAGCGCGGTGCCGCCGTCGCTGTTCTGCAAGTTGACCTTCGCCCCACGCCGGAGCAGCAGCTCGACCACCCGCTCGTGGCCATTGCGGGCGGCGGCCATCAGCAGCGTGATGCCACTCGCCTGGCCTCTCTCGTACGTCGCGTCGACCCGCCCGCCGCTGTCGAGCCACGCCAGCACCGCCTCCTCCTCGCCACGCTCCGCCGCTAGCACGGCCGCGTCGGAGCAGGTCAGGGAATCCGCACCCATGATGGGCTACGGGGTGCCCGGGGGCCTCAAAATCTTGATGCGGAGCGCCACGTCAGGCCCTAATACGAGCGTCACTTTGTAACCACCCCCCCTACTTCGTGGGGACCCCCCCGCCGGTCGGTGGTCTGCCCCCGAGGTGGACCGGACCCCCCCTCCGGTCGGTCGCTCTCTCGGCGGCGGGAGGTGTGACGACCGACCCCCCCCTCGGTCGGTGTCCTTGCCGTGAGCCCCCTCAAACGCTCTCCCTCCTTCTCGCGAACCGCCACGGGCGCTTCGAATCGCCGATTTTCACTATGAAAACCAGTCACGCAGCCAAGGAGACTCTCTTCGCCGAGGCCCGAGCAAGCCCGACCGCACACGTATATGTGGAGCATCTACGCAGTCGCAGGCCTGGTCCTGCTTGCCGTTGCTTTGTACAAGCTCTGGCAGCGCTCCAGTTCTCCACAGTACGCGCGCATCGTCCCTTCTGATGACTACGATGACCTGCCCGACTTGATCGACACATCGCCGCCGCCGTCACCGGGCTCATCGGCTTCCGAGTCTCCCAAGCGACAGCGAATGGCAATCGATGGACGTCGCTTCTGGAGCAACTCAGTTAATCGCGACATGCTGCGCGTTGCGCGCGGGCAGAGCTATGGCGGCGACATGATCTGCCTCGCACCCGGTCTTCACGTCTCCAAATTTTCCCTGGACCATGATGCCACCGTCGAGCGCCTGCAGAACATCGTGGGTGGCAGCCTACGGCCGTGCAGCATTCTTTGCGAGCCGTGGAAGGGCGTCCGCGATCAAACTCTCGCCGGTGTGCTGCGCGTGCTGCGTTTGCTGGACGAGTGTGCAGAGGGCCATCTCGATCTTACACGGGTCTGCACCGTCTTTTACGACTCTGAGCTTCCAGACACCATCGAATCAGTGCGAGACAGTGTGATCCGAGCAATTGCACGCTCTGCGCCCGTGATGCTCCTCTCGACGGGCGCGACCGAGGCGAACCTCGGCGAGAGGCTTGTGCACGGCGAGCGCCTCCTCTTCCATCGTCCCGCTGAGCTGCTGCCGGTGCTGTCGATGTACAAGGCGCTCGCTGCTCATCAAGAGGACCTGATCAATCGACAGCTTGCGTCATTGGCGAGCTTGCCGCTGAATGAACTGCAGTCAATGGCTGGAAGCACCGAGGCCAAAAAAGTCCTCCTCGCCGCGGTCAGTCATCTGAGTTCAAGGAAGCGGCTCGCAAAGTTTCATAAGATCTCGCTCGGAAAGATCAAGGGCGCGGAGTCGGCTGTGGACACGGCGCTAATTCAGCTTGGCAATTTGCATGACGAGGTGTGGACCCGCCTCGCCGATGAGCGCACGCGCTACCTATCGGAAGCCGACAAGTTTCATGCGCTTGTGCAGTCCGCTCGGGAGACGGGGAAGGCTTCCCGCGTCATCCAGGATTTGGAGCATCGCGAAAAGCTGCATCGCCGCTGGGCCGCCATCCGGGATCCGCACGGCCCGGACTTTGGCCCCGTATTCAAGCGATTTTGGCGTGAGGCGGCTTCGAAACTGGATGATCTGAAGGGGTGGTGCACGGGAGTCCCACGCTGCGGTGCGATCGCGCTATGAGGCGCTAGAAGCGCTGTAGAGGCCAAGATGGTGCTTAAAATCTGGACTATGCCCCGCGGCAGGCCCCAAAATCCGCTTCGCGCCGCTCCGCGGCGCTCAAAATCTGGAGCACCCCAGGCTGGACACCAAGTTAAAATCTTAAATTCGGCGGACTTGTAACCTCGGAATGTAGCGCACTATGGCTGTGCTGTCTCCTACACAGCCATCTTACGGCTTTACGTAAAGGATGGCTGAGCTAGCTACAGCGACATATGTCAAGGAACGCCGTTTAGGGCTTAGGCTCCTGCTTTTTGTTTTTATGCCGGTATACACACACACACGCGCGCACACACACCGGTGCCACGCGCCCAACTCTGCTCCCTGTGTGTGCTGTGTGTGTAGGATTCCTATGTGGGTCCACAGTAAATTTACTCGTGGAGTCAGCACAGCGGCGCTGGGGCGCGCTTCCAGATCTTCGAGAGGCGAGAGGGCCACGCCTCAGATGGCGTCATACGCCTCTTGAATCCAGCGCCTGATCATGCGCTCCTCGATGGCGCGCGCCTCTGCGAAGCAGGGCGGGTTGCGCGGGTCTGCGAACATCAGGTCGAGGTGGTGCGCGCCTAACCTCGGGTCATCTCGGGTCATCTTGGGTGCTCTCGGGGTCTGCGAACATCCGGTCGAAGTGGTGCGCGCCGAGATCGAGCACGAGCGCAATCTGCGATCCGTCGGCGCTGATGTTTTGCACCATCGGGCCGTCGGGGCCTAGGGGAGGGTGGGTTCGGGTACCGTGGGGTAGGGGAGGGTGGGCTCGGGTACCGTGGGGTAGGGGAGGGTGGGTTCGGGTACCGCCGCCCGGAGGGTAGACGCCCATGCCAGACCACGGGTCGAGCGCGCCTACGGGTAGGGGAGGGTGGGTTCGGGTACCGTGGGGTAGGGGAGGGGTGGGTTCGGGGACCGGGTCGAGAGCGCCTACGGGTCCACGACGCGTCCACGACGTGTCGAACCGCGGCGCACGCCCGCGCGGAGCCGCGCGTCGCGCGCGCCGTTGCTCCACACGATGTTGCGGTGGCGCGACACGTTGCGCCCGCCGTAGTACGCCTGCATCCACTCGCTCCACTTGTCGCCCACCAGCGGCCCGCCGCGCATCCCGCCGCCGCGGTTGCTCCCCCCGGGGCGCGGGCGCAAGCCCCTCGGGCCGACCACACTCTCGACGGTGAAGCCGCGCTCCCGTGCGCTCGGCGGCCAGTAGATGTCCCTGCCCACGCCCTGGACCTCGACCTGCGAGAGGGCGTCGGGTGCTCTCGGGTACTCTCGGGTAATCTCGGCTGATCTCGGGTAACCTCGACCTGCGAGAGGGCGTCGTTCGAGCAGACGCCGCCCCACGAGAAGCCTCGAGAGAGCGTGCCCGTGAAGGCGCAGGCGGACCGGTCCTCGTAGTCGCAAAACGAGACCGGGCAGGGGGGGCAACCGTCGCACGGAGGGCACGCAGGGCAGCCTTCGCCTTCGCCTTCGCCTTCGCCTTCGCCTTCGCCTTCGCCGCCACCACCGCCCGGCGCCGCAGCGCCCAGCGTCTCGGCCAGCTCACGCCTAGTCACCGAAGCCCTGCCGGGCTGCGGCTGCTGCGGCTGCTGCGGCTGCTGCGGCTGCTGCTGCTGCTGCGGCGGCGCGGCCTCGAATGGCGACGGCGCGCGCGCGGCGGCGCGGCCACCGCCGATGGCGTAGCAAGGCTTGTCTTGAGTCAAGTTATACCAGACGCCCGCCGCGGCGGCGACGGCGGCGGCGAGCCGCATCACGCCCGACGCCTCGAGCTGCTCCGCAGTGAGCGTGTCACCGTTGCCTGTCGCGTCGGCCCAGTCGACGGCAACCTCGAGGTCGCCCAGCGAGAGCGTGAAGTTGACGTCCGCCACCGACCCGTCGACTCTGACTCCGAAGTCCGCGTCGATGCCCCGTTCGCACGCGACGCGCATTGGCCACGACGGCAGCGGGAAGGCCTTTCCCTCGGTGACCGAGAAAGTGATGTACGTCGACGGGAAGGGGTAGTTTCCCTCCGCGAGGAAAAAGTACGGCGACTGCGCCCAGCGAGTCAGCGCGCGCGCGTCGTGCAGCGGCGAGCACGCCTTGACGCTCCGGCTCAGCAGCCGCAGCCCCGCCGCCGTGCGTCCCGCCTCTTGCAGCAGTGGCCACGCCGCCTTGAGGTTGTCACGGCAGCGGTCGGTCGCGCCGCCCGCCGCGCTCACTCCCTTGGAGATTGCCACCGCGGGCATGTCGAGCGTCTCGCGCTGCACCGTGCCGGCCAGCTGCCAGATGGGCGCCGAGGCGGCGATGACGCCGTCGACCACCTCGGGGTACTTCATCCGGAGCCACCCGGCCAGCATCCCGCCGTAGGAGCCGCCAAAGGCGACGACCGGCGCGCGCACCTTGTGCTTCCTCCGCAGCGCGGCGATGATGGTGACCCAGTCGGCGATGGCCTGCGCGGTCGTGCAGTAGGCAAAGCAGCGCTGCGTCCCGCACAGCGCGGGGTGGGAGAGCGGCTCGTAGCGGTGCTCGGCGAAGACGATCAGCGCGCCCAGATCCTCCGCCAGCTCCCACATCAGGCCGGTGTTGTTGACGTACTCGTCTACCGGCGACTCGTTGCCGGTGTAGAAGAGGATCGGGCCGGGCGCGTCCGCAGGGGCCTTGAAGCCGCCCTTGGAGGCGCGCTTCCACCACTTGTCGTACAGGCACAGCCGCTGCGGAAAGGTGCCGGCCGCGCCGCCAAAGTGATCCACGGCCTGCGTGAAGTTCTGCCAGGTGCAGTTGGCGACCGATGGCCGGCCGGCCGCAGCCTCAGCGGGACGCCAGCGGCCGCCGATGCTGCGCGGCGCGGCGGCGGCGGCGGCGAAGGCGAAGGCCATATAAGAAGGGCGTCGTCTGAGCTCGGACACGAGCAGGTAGAAAAGCTCGCAGACTTGGCGGCAGCGCGCCTGCTCTCGAAGTGGGAGAGCCCGCAGGCTCTCCTCGACCAGAGCGACGCGTCGCCTATTTCTTTTGAGCTGTAGGCGACGCGAAGAACGCGCGGCGCATGCTGGCGCTTCGCGGGCTGAGGCGTGCGACGCCGCCGTGCGAGTGCCTACATAAAGTAGTAGCCTCACACGAGTTGGGGCCCCTACCCCAATCGTTGACGGCGAATATGTGTCGAGTTTGGTTGGGTCTCCATTAAAGAAAGAAAGGTGCCAAACATCCAACCTTGGAGGGATGGGTCTCGACGCTTTTTGGTACTTCTTCCTCCTCCCCATCGTCCGAAATCGTCCGAACACACGATCGACGGGCGCGCGATTTTTCGCAACACCGATCGACGGGCTCTCTCGTTTCGTCTTTTGCATAGCCAAATCATGCTGGCTATCGCGTGCCTGACCCTCGCTGCTCCCGTCGAACGTGAGCCCCTCTTCGGCGGGGGAGGGTTGGGGCCTCGCTACGGACCAGGGGGCCTCGCTCCTTTGGGGCCCCGACTAGGGCCCCAAGACATCAACTCCTTTGGAGATGCCTTGGTCGCCATGGCAGCAAGCAACGCGACGGACGAGGGCACGACACTGCTCGGAGGGTGTGACCGCACGCCCACACAGCCTACCAGCAGCGTGAATCTTGCGTAGACAACAAGTGCCTGGATGGATTTCATTAGGTCGTCCCCGACTTGCACGGGGACGCGGGATGCTGAGCAGCCGTCCGGAAGCTTCTGCGCGCGCATCGACAAGTGCATCCAAAAGATCATCGGCATTTGTGTTGCGCACGCGTCGGCGACCATCAACCTCGAGTTTACATCTCCCACGACGGTCACAGTGAGCGGCTCCTACGCCGCCAACTATCCGGGGGGTAACAAAGCGGACAACATTGCGCCAACCACTGAGACGTTCTCCTTTCAACCCGACAGCAATCAGGCTGTGGTGAACCTCCCAGCGGGCGCAAGTGCTTACAGCCCGTCGATCTCGATCGAGTGTGCAGCCCCGAGATCGCTTAGAGGCAGTCCAGGCCTCGGTGTGACCGTGCTCTGCCTCGATCGTCGTCAGGTACTGCCCGGATCAAAACAACATCCAGGGGTCGGTGACGGCGCACAACGTACCCATCGCGGGGACGGTCTCTATCGACGCCGACGCGACACCCGGGGCGTGCTAGACCGGAGTTGTGTGCGGGGGGGACAAGACCTCGAGGAAGCCACAGCCGCACGATATCCACATGTCCGTATGCTTGCACATCACCCCCTCGGGAGGGCCGAAGAGAGGCGCCCGAGGGGACCCTGCAATTCCCTTCCCCCCTCGGAGGGGGCCGGACGAGGCGTACCCCGAGGGCCCCGCTCTTTCCCTCTCATAGCGGCCACTCTTCGGATCGCTGGTCGAGCGACCCGGGGGATGCCCCGCGCGCCTGACCCAGGCGCGAGAAACGAATCTGCGAGGCGTGGCCGCTCATGCGGCCCGATGGGGAGGAGTGGGGCGGACTACGGGGATCGCCCTCATACACCGCCCTTCCTCGCAGCGAGCCCCCTCTAACCCACCCGCGCTAGGTCTCGGGGGACGCAGGGGTCAGCCCCGCGCGACCTCGGAAACTAGCCGGGGCAGTCGGAGAAGGGGCAACTCCGTGCACTGAGGGTCGGCCGTCAGAAAACACGCCTCCGTGGCTCGGGTTACACCAATCCTCACTACCCAACGCCGCCAAAGGATATCCCCCTCGAGAACCTCGAGAGAGAGGGGCTGTGCTTTCCGTGAATGAACAGCGGCTCGGACTAAGCCCGCTATAAACGGGTTTTCGACGAGTTTCCAAAAATGCAGGGGCCCGACCTCTTCGACTCCATGGCTCCCGCCATCAACGCGTCCTCCCAGTGGGGCCCGGCGCTGTTCCCTCCCGTCGTCCAGACCGGCGCCACCTCTCTCCGGGAGGCGATGGCGATGAACGCAGTGCTTCGGCAGGCGGACGGCGGGAACGGCCTGCTCAGCGCTCAGTACGTCATGCCAGGGCCGCTCACCTCCTACAGCAACATTCCGATCCAGGCGACCGCCCTTTCGCCACCGCTCACGCCGCCGCCGGCTCCCGAGCTGCACCAGCAGAGCCGGCCACGCTTCGTTTGGACCCCAGAGCTGCACGC